CAACGTGTAAGCTGCATTCTTAAAGTCCATACTATCCAGCAATTTGACTGGTCATCTATTATAAACCCTAACACATGAAATGGCATTATTCAAAATAAAGCTGTATGGTCACTTATCCCTGAATTAAAACTGAGGAAAAGAACAAAATTTTTGGAAGAAATTTAAATCATATGATTGCCGAAGTTTACCTGACAGCTCAAAAGGAAGGGTTTTTAGCTGAGCAGAGGCAAGTAGATCTATGAGTTCAAGGCTAGCCTGGTCTACTACATAGTTAAGAGTACCAGAACAGCCAGGGCTAGAGACAATCTGTCTCAAAAGAAACAAGAAAGAAAAAATAAGTTTTAAAAAAAAAGTAAAGGAAAAGATAAACACTTTTAGGCTTTGAACTAAAAACAATAAAGACTGCTATTATTATCACCATAGGTTCCAAAAGATCCAGCCATGCTAAATTACAAGTATGATCATTTTCTCATCCAAAAAGTAGTAATCATCAAATGCCAGTCTAAACATAGCCTTATTCTACTCATTACATCACCTAATAAAAATAATTTAGGCTGGAGAGATGGCTTAGTAGTTAAGAACACTGCCTCCTCTTCCTGGGAACCTGAGTTCAATTCCCAGCAACCACATGGTGGCTCACAACCATCTTTAGTGGGATCTGATGTCCTCTTTTGGCATAAAGCTGTATATACAATAGAGCACTCATATACATAAAATAAATAAATAAATCTTTAAAAAATAAGTTATCTATAAAATTATTAATGTAGTTACAAAGTATCAAGGTGTATGGGTTTAACAAAGTTAAACACCTGTTGATACTATGCCTTTAAAAGAAAAAAAAGTGCTGGAGAGATGGTTTAGCAATTAAGAGGGCTTGTTGCTCTTACACTGCAAGAATTCACTTCCACCAGGCACAGTGGCACTCATCTTTAATCCAGCACTCAGGAGACAGAGCAGGCAGACCTCTGGTACATTCTACAAAGTGAGTTCCAGGACAGTCAAAGTTGGTCACACAGAGAAACTCCCATCTTAAAGGGGGGAAAAAAAAGTCCATTCCCATCACCTATCTACTCAAGGCAACTCACACCACGTGTCACTACAGCTCCAGGGCATCCAGTGCTCTCTTCTGGCCTCTGCAGGCATTCATGTACCCACACAACATACAGATTTTAAAATAAAAAGTCTAAAAGAAAACCACAAACAAATTAAAAAAATACAAGTAACAAAAAATAAATAAGCAGAGTTCACCCTGCTATAGTAGCACTTGGTGTGTATGGCACATCTGTAGTACTGGCACCCAGAAAGCTGCAGCAAGACCATCTCTTGAATCCAGGAGCAAAATACAGAAATTCCATCTCAAAACAAAACATGACAAAATGAAATGAATTAAAAAGCATGAAAGGAGAAAAAATAAAATATATGATTACTATTTCATAAATAGAATGATAGTACAATGCACAATGGCATAAGCCTAGAGTTCCAGGATGGCCTCAGCTGCACAATGAGACTCCTGTCTCAAAATAGCTGTGTGTGTGTGTGTGTGTCTGTGTGTACTTTTTTAAGGACTGGGGCATAGATTAGGAACAGAATACTTGCCTAGCATATATACCAGGCCCAGACTGAAGGGAATTCTAAGTTTAAGAGAAACCAGAGCTATCTATAACAAGACCCTTTTTGTTCTGTTTTGTTTCTGAGACAGGGTTTTACTATGTTATTCTGGATGTCCTGGAACTCACTATGTAGATCAGACTGGCCTCAAACACACAGAAATCAATCTGACTCTGCCTCCTGAAGTGTTTGGATCAAAGGTGTACACCACTACACCTCACTCCCCAAACCAATGTTTTAAATGACCATTTGGTAACAATTAGGCAACGACTGTAACTTGGAAAATACTATTAACACCATCCCAAAGCTTTAATTCTGCAAATGGACTTACACCAAGAAATAAGAAAATTCTATGACTAACCTCTGAAGATATGTAATGCTTATAAGTCAAACACCATAAAACATCAGCTATAGGTTCATTATAAACATTAATATGTAGGGCTGAAGAGATGGCTCAGAGATTAAGAGCACTGACTGCTCTTCCAGAGGTCCTGAGTTCAATTCCCAGCAGTCACATGATGGTTCATGATCATTTATAATGAGATCTGGCACCCTCTTCTGGCATGCAGGCATACATGGAAGGAATGTTGTATACATAATAAATAAATCTTGAAAAATCGTTACTTATTACAAAAAGTTCTTTAGACTCTGGCTTTGAAACCTATTTTTTCTCCCCACACAAAACAGATCACACAAAATATGACGCGCGCGCACACATCTATACATACACACATATACATACACAGAAGTTATATATAGTTATGCAGTATCTAGAAAAGTAGCTACAGTTCATATTTGGTTTCTCACTCTGGTGGCTTATTTTTTTTTTAAGTTTCTTTTTACTCAAGAGGTTTTTCTTATGATGTGCACACCATCAGTCCTACAGTTATTTGAGTTTAACTCTAAATAACCCAAAACATAATTAAGCCTAGTTATTCACTGATTGATTGATTGATTGATTGACTGGTTTTTCGAGGCAGGGTTTCTCTATAGTTTTTTTGTAGCCTGCTCTGGAACAGTAGACCAGGCTGGTCTTGAACTCACAAAGATCCGCCCATCTCAGCTTCCTGAGTACTGGGATTAAAGACGTGTGCCACCCAGCCCTAAACCTAGCATTCAAGGAAAGATGGTCTGAGATATATCCTGACCTTTGCCTTGACTGGTACTTCTAAATATAAATGTTCATTAACTCCATTTAAGAACATCCTAGTTTACAAAAGCTGGAATAATGAAGCAAGGAAATATGGAAAAGGACCCGCCCCCAAGTAAGAGTCCCTCCTTTTTGTAGGCCTTGATAGTTCAGAAGCATTTATTCTCTTATCTAAACTAAGAATGATGTCACACATTTCAACTATATTTCTGTTCCAGAAATGACATATTTCTGACCTAGGTAACTTAAGACAAATCTAAGAACTGACAAAATTGTATGAGATTTAACTATAGTAAGATATACATTTATAAGTCAAAAGTTATTTGATAAACACCCTTGAGTTATTTCAAATATTATTATAATACCAGTTACCTAGGTAGTAAATTTGAAAACATCAGATTTTATATAATTACATGAAAATAAAAAGAATTCAAGATTTAACCACAAATTCCTTATTAAAACAATTTTTCTGTTTCTTAAAAAGAAAAAAAATAAATCTCAATTGTCTAAGAATTAAACTAGACCAGTGAAACTTATCTGACTTGTATAATCCTGCCATTTAGGCCGGAAGTGGTGGTGCACCCCTTTAATCCCAGCACTTAGGAGGCAGAGGCAGGCGGATCTCTGTGAATTCAAGGCCAGCCTGGTCTACAACAGCTAGTCCACAGGATAGGCTCTAATGCTACAGAGAAACCCTGTCTCGAAAAGCAAAATAATAATAATAATAATAATAATAATAATAATAATAATAATAAAGCTTATTTAAAAAATCCTTCCATTTATTCCCGAGACTACATTATCTATATTGAAATGTGATACTACCACTAATAACAGCACTAGATGAGATTTTTCCATTATTAAAAACACATTCTTTAATGCCTACATGGTTTAATCTGCAAAACGGTGCCTACTGGATGAAACCATAAACATATTAATAATGGAAAGTCAGCAAGTGGCAGTGACACTGTTAAATCTGCCCGTACTCAAGTTTAAAAAAAAGTAATGTGCTTTAAAACAAGAGTAATTTTTTACTATGTAATTTCCTCCCATGTAACTACTGTTTTCTAAAAGTTGAACTAAATCAAGATTTCATTTTCATTCTTTTATTTTTGCAAAACTGAGGCCTGAATCTAAAGCCTCGAACACGCTAGTCCTGTGCTCTACTTGGGCTGTATCCTCGGTTCTCTTTTTTGAGACAAAGTCTCACCAAGTTGCCCAGGACAGCCTGCAGATCAAGCAGGACCTAAACTTGCCATTCGCCTGCCTCAGCCCTCCAATCCCAAGTAGCTGGAATTTCAGACTTTTACACATGATCGGTGTCCTTTTCGTTTTTTCAGTCATGCCCCATTCGTGACATTTTCCCCAAGCAAATCGAGATTTATTTACTAAAGCTCAAAAATACAAAACATATATAATGTATATGTTATGTGAGATGTAGTTACTAGCTAAAAGAAAGCCTAACTTTCTGCGCACGAAATAGAAATCTCTAAAAGAGTTCAGATGCCTAAAGCTTTTCTAATTCACAAAAGAGTTGTCAATTAGACAACACTGAGTTTTATTGTTGCTGAAGCTGCAAGGGTGGATAGGCAATCTACAATAACTATTCCACCAGCTTCCATCACGTAGCAGGTCCCAAACAGAAAAGACAAAAAAAAAAAAAAGAGGAAAAAAGAAGGAAGGAAAGAGTAGGCACAAGCCTCACCATCAGAAAATAAAGCCCATCATCACCTCTTCCGAGAAATAGTTCCCTTCCCCCACCTCTAAGTAGCCACTTAAGACTGCCAAGGAGATCCATTTCTTTATTAGCCGGTGCCCACTTGGGGCAATCGCACACCAAAGCTGCTCTGAAGGGCCTGCCCTAATCCCGTGTGAAACTGCTCAAGAGACTCAAGGGCTAGGATAAACCTGGTGAAAAGGGCCGGATTCTTTCTGACACCTCTTCCACACTCACCCCCTCACCCCCTCCTCCAGCCTGCCCCAGTGGCCCATCCTCCGGCACGAGGAAGGACACCGGGGCCGTGGTCCTGCAGGAACTGCCGGACAGAGCCGCTCCGGCAGCCCCAGTCCTCCGCCATGCCAGGACTCCGGGAAGCACCGCCCAAACGCACCTCCCAACCGGCCGGCAGAGCGGACAGGCCCGGGACGGGCCAGGCCCAGGCCTGCCCCTGGGGCGCCGCGCGGGCCTCCAGGGTCCGATCCTCCTGCCGGCCCCGGGGCCAGACGGCGTGGCGGGGCCCCTCACCTGGATGACCTCGTTGACCTCCCGGATACATTCCACCATGTGCTGCAGGATCTGTTCGGCCGTGAGCACCTCGTAGCGGTAATCCTCCTCCTGCTCGTGCCCCGGGCCGCCGCCGCCACCGCCGCCGCCACCTCCTCCAGGCCCCAGAGCGCTGCCGCCGCCGCCGCCCGTCTCCCCGCACAGCAGTCCGTCCCGCTCCCCGCCGACGCCCAGCCCAGGCTCCACCAGCTCCACCTCGCCCAGGTCCAGGTTATCATCGTCCGGCTCGTCCTCGTCGTCGTCCTCCTCCTCCTCGGCGCCGCTGTCCTCCTCGCTGCACTCCTCGTCCTCGTCGAACTCGTAGTTGTAGCCTTCGTCCGAGTCCATGGCGCGACGCGCGCGGGCCCGGCGGACGCTGGCCGCGGCGCGGAGAGGGCGGGGACGCCGAGGCCCCGGCTCTCGCTCCGGCTCCGGCTGCCGTCCGGACGCAGGCCTGGTTCCGGCCCCGTGGGCCGCGGCTGCTCCCCCGGTGCGGCGGTTGGAGGTGGGCGGCGGCGGCGGCCGGGAGGGCGCGGAGCAGGGCGGGAGGGAGCGCGGGGGCCGCTTGCTGCCCGCCTCAGTCAGACACCGCTCCGCTCCGGCCTCGGACGGAAAACAGTCCCCAGCGCCACCTCCGCGGCCGCTGCTACCGCTACTGAGCCAACAAAGGGGCGTGCGTCACCGCGTCGCGCTGCGTCATCGCGTCGGTCCCCTGTGCGTCACCGCGCCACGCCCCTTGGCCCCTGCGTAGTAAAAGGGGAGACCCCACGGCCTGCTGGAGAAGGGCTTGAGCGCGGCGGCGCGGGGACGACCGGGCTGGACTGGGAACCAGCAGGTCCTTGAGGCTGAGGCCTTCCGGTCGCTGGGAGGGGCCCGGGGAGCGCCCAGGCAGAGGTTTTTCGCCGCCGGCCTTCCCCGCTTTGGGGCCTCACTGACACTGCTCGCCCGCCCAGGCTAGTTCCGGAAAGCCGTCTGCTGCTCTGCTAAAGTTCCCGTTGCCAGAGTTACTGCCTGGAGGGTGGTAGTACGCGGAACTCCAAATTGTGTGACAGGTAGTTGGAGTGTTGCTGTCCACTCTTGTGAATCTGCAGCGGTTCACGGGTCCCCTGACGCGACGTCATCGTAAAGAGACGTTTCTCGAACTCATTTTGACCCCCACTTCTTGAGGGTCCTAAACAATACGAAAGCCATGGCTTTCCTCAGTTGATCTCTAAGGGCCTTCCAAAAATTAGCGCTCAGTTTCACTGAGTCCTAGTGTCCATGTTATAGCACAGGCATCTAAGGCTCTAGAACAGAAAGGAGACAAGAAAGAGTGTAGCCCTGTGATTGCCCTCTTGCCCACCATGCACAACGGCCCCGGTTTCAATCCCCAGCAGTGGAGCAAAGGCTTTCTGATACATACTGCATATTAGATGAAATGTAAAATACAGGAGAGTCAGGAAACAATACAGGCAAACCACACCTCCAAGGACCGGAGGTGTGCAGAAGTGACCTGTGTCACTGTGGCTAGTTCAACAGAGGACAAGGGAAAGATGCCCTCTCTCAAAACATGGTAACACGGAAGCTTAAAACTCAATCGATAAATGGGAAATATTAAGCAAATTAGTTAGAAGCCATGACAAGGCATGTTATGCCTTTCCAACACTTGACTTAAGTTGTTTTATTTGCTTTGGACCTTGTAAATAGGGCAGGAGAGCCAGGGAATTGTTTTGAAGGAAGCAGAGGCAGAAGAAGCCTCCCTCTTCCGGTAACTGGAAGGACTGGCCAGGCTGGAAACCTTTTAAAAGCTGAATCCTTAATTTATGAAAAGCTTAGCAAATAAAGTACTCAAAATATACATTCCCTTTAGAAACTGGCTTTGAAACGTGAAGATAGATAGATAGATATAGAATAGATATATACCCATATTCATTTGTCAAATTTTTTTTCAAATGATCAAATGTATTTTAGAAAAATATATTTACTGGGTGGGGGCGTGGTATGTGGAGGTCAGAAGAGAACTTGTGGGAGTCAGCTCATTCTCTGTGTGGGCTCTGGTGGAAAGTGACTTGCAGTACCTGCTGAGCCTTTTTAAATTTTTTTAAAAGATAGTCAAGGATGACCTTGAACTCCTGGCCTTCCTGCCTCTGCCTCCCAAATGCTAGGGTTGAAGAAATGTACCAACATGCCCAGCTAAAATCAAAGTTCTTAACATCAGCTCTAGGTTCTATGTTGGTTCTTTGAGTCAGTGGTTCTTTGTTTCTTTTGTTTTGGTTTGGTTTTGGTTTTTTGAAACAGGGATTCTCTGTGTAGCTTTGGAGCCCATCCTCGCACTCACTCTGTAGACCAGGCTGGCCTCGAACTCAGAGATCCACCTACCTCTGCCTCTGAAAGTGCTGGGATTAAAGGCCTGCACCACCACCACCCAGCTGAGTCAGTTTCTATTTAGCAATTATAAGCTATTGCCACAACTGGGACAAGCCATAGACATAAACACACTTTGTTCTTCAGCATCCCTGTTGTGTTACAGCTATGGAAATAATTCGGTAACATTCTTGTGCTCACAGTTTCTCTTATGACAAAATAACAGGCAAAGGCAAGTTAAGGAAGAGAATTAATTTGGTTCACAGTGTGAGGACAAGGTCTGTCCTGGCAATGAAAGCATGGTGACTGAAGTATGAGGCAGCTTGTCACAGTGTATCAGCAGTCAGAGAGATGAATGGTGGTGTTCAGAACACTTTCTCCTTACTCTTCAGTCTAGGACCCCAACCTACGGAATCTTACAGCTCACATTTAGGGTGGATCTCCCACCTTAATTATTGCATCTAGAAAGTCCCACACAGACTTGCCCAGAGGTTCACCTCCTAACCAACTCTTGGTCCATCAAGTTGATGATAGTAACCATGACAGTTTCTGAAGACCTTAAAAACCCTTTGCATCACCTGTCTTTTAATAGTACCTACCCTCCACATCTCCCGTTGGGTACTGAAGTGGCTAGCCACAATCCAAAAAAACATGCTTAGCAATATGCTGACCCTCAATACTGCTGTCACGTTTAGAAATTTGTTCTCAAACTTTGACCTACTCTCCATAACTTTATTAGTTTCCTCGGACCTCCAGCAATGTATGTGGTGGTTCACACCTGTAATTCTAACAGCGCTGGAGCCTGAGGATTGAACTTTGAAGCCACAAAGCCTGGGCTCTGTGAAGGAACCATATCTCAAACAAAAACCAACAACAACAAAACCTACCCCAAATTTGCCCTTTCAGTCCTCTCAAAGCACATGAAATTAAGTTATAGTAAAAATTGAAAGCAGGACCATATTTGGAATTTTGATACTTGAAAATATCAACATCACTGAAATATGCTGAGCAGCTAAACACTATTAAGGGTTGAAAAAGAGAGAAAACAGATAATGCAGGACACAGTGAGAAGTGTAGGTCATCCTAAGAAGCTTACATTAGGGCAGTGTTTCAAGCAGAAGGGTAAAGCAATATGATCCTTGTTCTTTAAAAGATAGATGGGTACTTCATAGAGCATAGGCTACAATGGCATCAGCTAATTATGAGACTATCTCAGACATCCAGGTGGAGAGTAATAATGGCCTGAGCTAGTTTATGACCTTGGAGATACACGTGGTTAAGTCTGGGTGTACTTTGAAGTAGACCCAACAGGTTCAGCGATGAGAACACCAGTATAGCTCTGGATTCCTGAGTATAGACGTAGTGTGCACCTCCTCACGGTCATGTGCTCCCTGCCATGAGAAGACTGTATCTGTTCAAACCATGAGCCAAAACAAACACTTCTTCCATTAGGTTGACTTTGTCAGCTATTTTTTTGTACAGCAACGAGAAAAATGCTACAGAAAATTGGTACCAAGGTGCTGTGATGCGCTTGACCATGTGGATCTTGGACTTTCTGGAGGAACTTGAAAGATTTTGGCACAGTGGATTAAAGAAACCTTAGAATATCATAAGCAGAGACTAAAGGGCCATTCTGGTGAGAGTTTGGGCGAAAGACAAAAGAAATAGAATAGAAATCCCAGAGAACCTAGACAACAATGAGGCCCCTGAGAGAGACATACATGGATCTAATCTACATGGGAAGTAGAAAAAGACAAGATCTTCTGAGTAAATTGGGAGCATGGGAACCTTGGAAGAGGGTTGAGAGGAGAGGAGAGGCAGGGAAGGGAGCAGAGAAAAATGTAGAGCTCAATGAACATAAAATTAATAAAAAAAATCACTGAATGAACTAGATCCGAAAGGAAGGAAGGAAGGAAGGAAGGAAGGAAGGAAGGAAGGAAGGAAGGAAGGAAGAAAAAACAAAGGCCAGGCTCATGCAGTTTTGAAGAGGAATGAGACGCTTAATGTGCTAGAGGCACATTTGTTTGAGTCTAGCAAAAAACTTGAATACATTCTGTCCATGTCCTGAAAGTTTTGAGTAAGCTAATATACTAACTTGTTTGGTATTAGAAATTTCAACAGTGTAACTTTCAGGCTGTGGCACAGTCACTGCTCAGTGTTCTCAGTCAGTGCTACCGTGACAGCATGAGGATGGGAGAAAAGAGTTTTGGCGTAGAGTTAACAAGTGGTAGACTTGTGAAGATCATTAGTTTGACTACTGTCATAATAATCTGCACCCTTGGGAAAACTATAGCCAATTAGATTTAAGCCTTTTATGTCATTGTATTTTAATTACGCTAATATGTATACACCCTAGATCCTTCTTTTTTGAGGGTGTGTGTGTGTGTGTGTGTGTTTGTATATGTGTATGATATGTGTGTGTGTGTGTGAATGTGTATGTGTGGACCAGAGATCAACATCAATTAACTTCCTCGATTGCTTTCCTCCTTAGTTAAGACACGGCTTCTGACCAAAATGGGACTTATCCATTTGGCTAGGCTGGTTGGCCAGTGAGCTTCAGGCATCTGCCTATCTCCACCCCTCCAGGGCTGTGATTACAGATGCCAGCTGCCTACCTGCCATTTCACATGAATGGTGGGGATCAAATTCAGTCAGGAACTTTAGCAACTGAGCCATCTCTTAAGTTCGTCACCCCCAATTTCTAGAAAAGAAATTCATCTTTTTTTTTCTCAGAAAAATCCTCTGTTATCTAATGAATCTTAACTAATATTATGAGCAATGTCAGAATGCATCTAAATTTTTGGTTCTCCTACTCTAGGATAAACATAATCAGGCTCTTGGCAATAGTCATTCCATTCATATTTAGAAAGCATCTTAGATTGAGATTAGCTTATGGTATATGGTGATATTTCAGGAAAACCAGTAGAGCAGCTTCTCTAAGGTCCCAAATTGGCCGAGGGATGACCTGCATACATTATTAGGGTTTTGTTTTTTTTTTCTTTTAATGATTTGATCTGAAAGGTATTGCCTGTGTTATTGTTGTCTGAAGTAATGGGTGGAAGTATTGCACTCTGTAAACAACAGGACATGGTCCTTAGAAAAAGAAAATAGATAAGCTAATACTTCCTTGGTGCAGGAAGGAATCATTTTTGGTAATGCAGTACTCTCATTCCTATATCTGAATGACATTTGAAAAATTATTAGCTCCAGGTGGTGGTGGTACACATCTTCTCTTCATCTACCCCTTACTTCTCCATTATCATTTCTTCTTTGATTGTTGAGACAAAGTCTCACTGTGTACACCTGGCTGACCTAGAACTCATAGAGATTCACTTGCCTTTGAGATCCTGCCTGCTGGGATTAATGGAGTTAGCTACCTGATTTTCTTTCTTTTCTTTCTTCTTCTTTTTTTTTTTTTTTTTTTTTTTTGGTTTCTCAAGACAGGGTTTCCCTGTGTAACAGTCCTAGCTGTCCTGCTGCCCTGGAACTAACTCTTATAGACCAGGCTGGCCTCAAACGCACAGGAATTCACCCCTCTTCCTCCCAACTGCTGGAATTAAAGCCATGTGCCATCACCGCCCAGCCACTACCTGATTTTCTTATGTTGTTTGTTTGTTTGTTTGTCTGTTTTTGAGACTAAGTCTTCCTATAGAGCCCAGGCTGGCCACAAACTTGTAGCAATCATTCTACCTCTGTCTCTTAATGGAGAGATTATAGGCATGTGCCACCACAACTGGGAAAGGGTATTTTCTAATAAAGTTGGAAAAGATTTCTCTATGGGTCCTAATTTCTCTAGTTTGTGTTGCCTTGTGGATAAATTTCGCCTTTGGGTAAATGAATGAATTTGTTTGCACTTGATAAACCAACCACATATTCGTTTTGCTATTGTTTGGACAAGTGTCTTTGCAACCTCAGATGGCTTCAGATTCTCAGACTGAGGAAACTGCCCTCGGAGTTCCACATATTTGCTGTGGTACATGCATCCAAGTGTACATGCATGAGCACACACACACCGAATAAAGGTAATTGAAGAAGAAATCACATTAGACTTTCCTCAGCCTCAATATTTTTTAATATATGTTTTGTCTGTCTAACCTCTCTGCTTATCTAATCCATGTGTTTCAAAACTGCTATTTTTCAAGTCATTCCAAACTTAGTATTTAAAACCTGGAATCTGGGGGCTGGCAAGATAGCTCAGAGGTGAAGAGCACTGGCTGCTCTTCCAGAGGTCCTGAGTTCAATTCCCAGCAACCACATTGTGGCTCACAACCAATCTTATGCCCTCTTCTGGCACACAGGTAGAAGACTGTATGCATAATAAATAAATCTTAAGAAAAGAAATAAAAAAAAAAACCTAGAGTGTGAATCATCCTTGTACCTCCCATTTGCTAGTGTGGGGTCAATTATAACCTGACACTGTGACCAATAGACATTTCTTGACTTCTTTAGTGGATCTTGTCAACATTAAATAAACATTGGTATCTCTTTTGCTAATTCTTCTAGGTCTCCATAAAAACTTGAAGACTGGAAGAAAGAGAAGAAAGAGGAGGGAGAGGCTGAACGTCCATTTCTTCTGCACCACTCCTTATCTGGGACTTCTCTGAGGCACGTGCCCATCTCACCTCCCGCATCTGCAGCTTTTAATGCTGAATTACAAGTTAAGATTGATACAGAAATCAAAACAGACGGGCTACAAAGCCCACAGTGCAGTGTGCTTGTCACTGCATGAAGAACTGCAGCTTGGAGTTAGCTGCCACAGCCTAGAAGCAGCAGTGTTGGGTGTGTCCCAAGAACACCAAAGCTTTCAGAAATGAAAAAGCTTGTCTTCTGTATTTTACTTATTTTTGTTTTTTTGTTCTTCTGGTATCTTCTTTTGGAAACAATACCGTGATTTAAAAGTCATAACAGGGCTCTGGACAGCTTCAGTACCACAGTATTTGCCTTGCAAACACAAGGGACTGTGCTCAATTCTCAGCACCAAACAGCTACAACCAGCACAATCACCCTTTCCAACTCCAGCAACCAAATGTCGCCTCTTCCAGTCATGTTTCAAGATGGCAGAGATCAAATTTCTCTATACCCTCAGTCAATATCAGAAGAGTGATAATGGAAAGCTTATGGTATTTGACTTCTTGTCTAGAATTTTCTATGAATTGCTTCACATTTTGCTTTTATGAACAGCTAATTTTGAGCTGGCTGGCTCAGTGGGTCAACATTTCTTACCTTCGTGGCATGAGCTTGATCCTAGGACCCACATGGTGGAAGAAAAACCAATTCTTGCAAGTTTTCCTTTGTCCTACACATATACATGTATGTATGTGCATTCACATACTAAATGTAAAAAATAGGGAGTTTAACATGCTTAGAAGTGTGAGTAACATTGCTGCTGAAACACTAGAATTTCCATTTTAAAGAGTTTTAAAGGGCAAAAAAAAAAAATACTAAAATCACCACTTTGTCTCTCTGTGTTCCTAAATAAAATGGTCCCAAAGTGCTGTAGTAGTTATCAATTGGCATATTTCTTTATACAACACAAATCAAATTGTGTGTGGGCACATTTTTTTCAAGGCATATGAGAGCTGTGAGCCTTTGTAACTTTCTACAGGAATATATGTGGAGAGGCAGGCGGACTCTGTGAGTTCGAGACCAGCCTCGTCTACAAGAGCTAGTTCCAGGACAGGCTCCAAAACCACAGAGAAACCCTGTCTCGAAAAAAAAAAAAAAAAGAAGAAGAAGAAGAAGAAGAAAAGAAGAAGAAGAAGAAAAAAAAAAAAAAAAAAAAAAAAAAAAAAAAAAAAAAAAAGAAGAAGAAGAAGAAGAAGAAAGAAAACCCTATGCAAAGGAATATATGTGGAGGGAGGATCAGACACACAGGAATGTGGTGGGGAAGTCGATATTCGGAGGATGTTTTTTCTTTGAGGTACTGGGAATTGACTAAAATAAGCCCCTTCCCTTTAGTCACCATTTTTATTTGGGAGTTCTGTTTTTTGAAACAAGGTCTCTTAACGTCCTGCAACTGAACAGTAAACCATACTGACCTTGAACCCAAAGAGATCTACCAGCCTCGCCTCCCAAGTACTGGGATTAAAGATGTGCACCATCACACCCAGGGAAAATTTTTTCTAGTTTTTTTTTTTTTTTTAAGACAGAGTTTTCCTGGGTGGCCTTCCTGCCATGGTGTCCAGTGTTCTGGGCTTACATCACTATGCCTGGCTCTGTTCAGCTAACTATTAAAGGCACTGTCATGTAGCAGTTAGCACCATAGGGTTCAAAGCAGGAAACCCCACGAATTAAGTATGTTACTTTACACTATTTACTATCTTGTGAGCCTGATACCACATCTGAATACAAAACAAGAATTACTATTTTCTTCATTTGATTATAACAGATGACTAAATATAAAGGATTCAAAGCACAAAGCTTTGTTTTAGGCCTAAATATGTACAAAGACGGCCACTTAGTCTGTTTTAAATGACTGGCCCTTAGATCAGTCTCAAGCAGCATTCATTTGTGAAGTTGTTGGAAAGGTCACTATGCTCTTACAGGCCTGTATATTAGTTAATTTAACAAGTCAGTCATCAATATGTCGGGCGTGATGCTAGCTATTTAGGTTAAGAAGATGAATAAAATTATTTCAGCCATTGACATGCTCATAGACTCATAATAATAGACACATTTTAAGCCATGAATCACACAATAATATGTTAAGTATTAATACCATAGTAGATGATGACCTGAATGTTGGGAAACAAGATAGGACTCTGACTCATAGTAGGAAGCAGACAAGATTGTCAACGAGGACTTCTAAGAGTTGTGAATGGCCCAAGCTGAGTATTTGTGAAAGAATAATGTTCTGGAAAGAATTGGAATGTATGTGTAATGATAATATGGATTAGTGGCTGGAGAGGTGACTCAGCATTAAGAGCATTGGTTGCCCTTCCAGAAGACTAAGGTTTCATTCCCAGCACCCACATGTCCTAGTAACTTTTGTTTTGCTGTGGAAAAACATGACCAAGGCAATTTACAAAACAGAGCATTTGATTTGGGGTTCACAGTTCCAGAGGGTATTAGAGTCTGTGCCCATCATGGAGGGGAGCATGGCAGCAGGATTGGTGCCAGAGCAGTAGCTGAGAGTTCACATCGGATCTCTGTGAGAACCTCAATCCTGCCAAGGACTATGTAAACGAAGTTGGACTCAAACCTTCCTGCAGTCAGATACAGATGGGAGCCTTGGCCAATCCTTCATTTGCACCCCTATGATGAATACTGAGATCAGTAACCCAGCTAAGCAACAACCAGATTTTGACTGACAGATACTGAAATAATAAATTTTTGTTTACTTTCGAGACACATGTCACATGGACAAGGCTGGTCTTAAACTTACCATGTAGTCAAAGATGACTCTGAGTTTATCACCGAAATCCTCTTGCCTGCACTCCCTGATTGCTGAGATTACAGACGTGCCACCACAACAAGTCTTTCAGTGCCAGGGATCAAACTCAAGGCTTCACCCGTGCTGGGCAAGAACTGTACCAACTGGGTTGCAGCCTCAGTCCTGGCTTACTTCACCTTCATCCAGTATCTCATCTTCCAGATGACCAACTACCCAAGGGATATGATACCAAGGAATATGGACTGAGTATCCTCTGCCATAAGAACTTAGTGCCTCTTAACGTTCTTCCAATTTGTCCTGTGGAGTGAGTCTCACGTGACCCTGTAGCAGCAGTACTTAGTGATACTTAGGAGGCATACAATAAGTAGAAGATTTGTTTCGGCATTCATGGTATCAGTTTAGAATCTTGCTCCACAATTAGTAGAACTTGGCGAACATTAAACAACTAAAAGGATGCTTGGAGCCTTCTGAAGAATGGTGCTGAAGGCAATATCTACAAGCAAAATATAGATGTGTATGATTACAGACCCCGCAGATGTCATCTGCAAAAGCAATATCACAAATAAAAGAGACAAATTGGCTAGGCTGATAAGATGGCTCAGAGGATAAGAGCACTGGCTGCTCTTCCAGAGGTCCTGAGTTCAATTCCCAGCAATCACATGGTGGCTCACAACCATCTATAATGAGATCAGGTGTCCTCTTCTGGCCCACAGGGATACATGCAGGCAGAATATTGTGTATATAATAAATAAATAAATCTTTAAAAAAAAAAGAGAGACAAATTGGGAGAAATACTTGCAACATGGTTCACTCATGTTTGATGTGTAAATTTTCATATGAGTTTAAAAGAAACCTATTTAAAAACATGCTAATGTGCTTGGAAGTTTGGTATAAACTAAACTCCAGATGCCCAAGCAAATGACAGAAAGGTCACCTTTATTGTAGTTATTTTAATTTAGTTGGTTTCATTTTTTGAGGCAGAGTCAATAAAGTCCTAGCTGTCCTGGAATTCCCTATATAGACCAGGCTGGTCTCAAATTCATAGAGATATGTCTACATCACTTGACTTATAGCTGTTTATTCTAAATATTAAATCCCCCTTTATTACTTCTATGCAAAATAAGAGGCAGAATACAAAATGTCAAAAATGATTGTAATGACAGTTGAAAGGTGTCTCAAGGAACTGAAAGCCAACACGTAAATGTACAGCTACAGACGGACTGAAGGACCCACTTTGGACTTGTGTGGCTGTTTCTGTTTGCAAAAGGCTTTAGTAGTTAACGCTATCTGCCCATCTGTTGCTGACCTTCCTAGGTCTCCCAACAGATGGCAGCTTAAGGAGTGAGAGTTTGAACGGAGAACTGTTGAAGTCTTACTTCTGCTTTCATTTAAAAAACAATAACAACAAAAAGACTAGACTTGATAAACACCGAGACACATGAGCTCAAGTAATAAGTGAGAAGACAGTCAGAAAAGGGAAAGAATTAGTGGACTGGATTGATTTCCCCGTTTATCTTTGGGTGTGTCTGTAGGGAGTATGAGCATGTAGGTGTGAGTTAAGCAGAGAGTGGAGGAGGCCAGAGATAAATTTCAAATAACTTCTTTATTATTCATCATAATTTATTTATTTCATTTCTTTTACACAAAGTCTGTTGCAAGGAGGGCCACTTGTTGGTCCTGGCCGCCCAGCTAGCTTAGTCCCGAAATAACCACACAGAAACTATATTAATTAAATCACTGCTTGGCCCATTAGCTCTAGTTTCTTATTGGTTAGTTCTTACATCTTAATTTAACCCATCTCCATTAATCTGTGTATCACCACAAAGTTGTGGCCTACCAGCAAAGGTCCAGCATGTCTATCTCCAGTGGCGGATCCATGGCTTCTTTCTGACTCTGCCTTCCTCCTCCCAGAATTCAGTTCTGTCTTCTCCACCTACCTAAGTTCTGCCCTATCAGGCCAATTTCTTTATTCATTAACCAAGAAAAGCAACACACAGAAGGGATTGCCACATCAAAAGTCTCTCACTGGACTGGAGTTCTCTGGTTTGGTAGACTATCTGGATGTCAGACCTGAGGGATGCTCCTCTCTCTACCTCCCCAGGGCTGCTGGGGTTACCTGTACCTTCACACCTGGGGCTGTGTGGATGCTAGTGATCTGAACTCAGGTCCTCATGCTGTACAGAAGTGCTTTAGCCCTGAGCCATTTCCCTTGGACTGCTTTTTCAAAGATCACTCTGGGATAACAAATTATTGCTGTGGACCCTATGTGATAGCTACAGAATAAGAAGCAATAACTTGCTATATTGGACACAACTACACTAATTGAGATGTGGGTGGTCACAAATATTTATAATCCCAGCACTCAGGAGCCTGAGAAAGAATGATTATTGCAAGTTCAAGACAAGCCTGCTCCACATAGTGATCCTATCATAAATAAAAATATTAATAATAATTCTTGAACTGGGTTATCTCCAGACAATGCTGCACACATTTAGGGTGGACCTTCCCACTTTGAATTACTCTGATCAGAAAAATTCCTCGCAGGATTGCCCCACAACTTGCCTTTTAGTTGATTCCAGATCGAGCCAACAAAACTGACCTATATATTTAGTTGCTTTCAAAAACCTTAAAAGCCTAACTGTCTCAGGTTCAGCTGCAGAGTGCTTTTGTAGCATGCACAAGGGCCTGGGTTCCTAGCGTAGAGTCATCCTTAATCTGGCATTTGCTCCTTTAATCTTGTTTTTATTGGAGCAATAGGGTACAGGCCCTGAAGTCTGAGTACTTGGTTTCAAATTCCGAGCCAACAGTAACTATGTAATCTTGCTGTTAACTTTATTGGCTTCATTTGTAAGGTAGAGAAGCTAATAGTACTTTATTTGTAGGAGTGGGTAAAGATCCTATGGGATATTATCTATAAAATGCTCAACATGGTGCTTAGCACACATAGAAAATATTCAATAAACCTTAGCTACTTATTATTCAAGTAAACAGACTTTAAAACAATAACCTGATGGGCAAGAATGTCATTAAAACAAGAGGTCAAAAAAACTGAATTGGAGTTTAGAGACGGACGAGAAAGACAAGGGCATGGGGTGGAAGGTC